AAAATAATACCAATTGACTCAAGCATTTCACCATGTGTCAACCAATCAAGAAACATATTACTCATTATACATGAAGGACACTTAAACAAAGCATCAAGATAAGCACTAGGAAAAATCGGTACCTGCATAGGCAAATTAAGCTCCTCATTGTCACCATGAAAACTAAGAACTTTAGGTAGGATACTTACCTTACCATGGTTAATTGAACATCAACAAATTTACCATTTTTACTCAACTAAATAGCCCATTGACTATCCACAAATGAACTAGTTGTTGTACCACAAAGATTCACTCGCCATTGATCAATAACATCAACAAAAGAGTTAGTCCTAACAACAACATGATCAAATAGCATGATCAACTCCATTGTGCAACACTTTAAGTAATTCATTAACCTGCCAAAAATTAGGAAAGACACTAGGCAAAACAATGTAAGGACGGTTAGTCAAAAGAAATTCCAAAAAGCCAATAATTGTACTCATAACTAACATGCTCTCACTTGTTATGACACGCAAACTCAGCTCTTTTTCTTTGCCACTCAAATCACTTGATTGTTCACTCACCTTTTCCTTTACACTTCCCTCGATTCTTACCTCAAGCTCACTCTCAAGTACTATACCATTACTTACACACTCATTTAGTGCATTATTTTTCTCATATAATTCCTCTCCAACTACCTCTTGACAGTTAGCTAGCGTAGGTGGAATTTCAATTACTACCCCATCTTACTTGATGCCTAATGTCACTTCAATGTCAACCTTCTTAACCAACGGTAGGATAGGATTAGAGTCTCCTTTGTTAACAATGGATTCAATAGGTTCTTCCTTAGGTGATTCATTTTGATTGTGACTATCTGGACCCTCCATTTGTTTATGTTGTAGAAGGCGTAGATATATCTCACATGCTAACACCTTGGATGGCTTGACTCTAGGTTTAGACCTGAAAGATATTGAATGAATCTTCTCCTCCCTTCTTGAATAGGCCAGCTTTGATAGGAAAATTGGACATTAGAATTGGATGGCATGAACCCCTCTTCATGGTAACCTTATTCACGATTCAATCAAGTTGTCTATGTATAGGCTCCAATTCCTCCTTTAACAATTCATGCAACTGGCTAGTCATCACCTCCATTGCTAGTTTATTGTTAAAAGTTGAAGATCCTTCTCCAATGGACATGCTTAAGTATTCTTGCAAAGAATGTTAGCAAAACAAAGAAAAGTTTCTTCACAAAACTTCCTCACGTATCAATAAAAAATGAAGCACTCGTGTATCACGTGTTTACCCTCGACACTCGTGTATCAATAAAAAATGAAGCACTCTGATAATCTCACCAAAATAGATTCTTAAGGTCCTTACTTGCTTCTATTGAAGAAATTAGAGCTATTCCTCAAAGCAAAATCAACCAATCAATTTTGCTTCTCAAGATTATAGCAAAATTGGGGTTTCAAATCGACACAAGGGACAATCAACAAAACTAAAATTTGACCAAATGACTTGACTCTTGGATGAGAAAATTGCAGAAAATATTTTGGAAATTTGCTGAAAATAATGACCAAATATGAATTTAGAACAACAACAAAGAAAGGAAGAAAAAGGAAACTACCCAACACAACTAGGAACACACGACTGAAATTTATGATTGCGCTTGAAATGGATTAGCAAATCTGGAAATTTACCCTTTCCTAGGTAAACAAGGATTTAGAACCACACTTGGTTTATTCGAATGAAGTTTAGGACAAGAATTTCGAATTTGGCGAGTTATGGACAAAATCCGATTCACACTAGGAAAAGTGCAAGGTAGTGGCTTCAATGAGACAACATGGATTGAATTTGGACAGAAAATGACTCCATTTAGACCCTAAATCTGCTGGAAAATGTGGAAATTTAAAGACACAAGAAACTGGTAAGAGGCGTTGAAGGAAAGATAACAAGTCGACTCCAACTGGGAAGGTAACCAACAGCTAGTCCACTATTTTGCAAAATCCAACCTAACCTAGGATAATAAAAATGAAATTTCTGGAATTAATCCTTTTCCCCATAAGAAACAGTGAGTAGAAAGGTGTATCATCCCAATCCAAGGTGTATTCAAACAAAAGATCAAACTAGGAAGCTGTTTTGATGAAATCTGAATCCAACTTGGAAAACAATCAAATAACGGTTGTTTTATTCTTATTCAATAAGGAATTTGTTTCCTTGTGTTTCAAAATTGATCAAACAATGTTTTTGAAGATAGATTAAACAAGGCAAGTTGCAGAATTTTGTTTAAGAAAATCGGATGGACAACTTTCAATTTTGAAGAACCAGTAGGATTTGCTGTTCACATATCTAAGATTTTCAAGAACCAAATTATGGTTTCAAGATATTTCAAGATTGATAAATTTCAACCAAGAATGTCAAGAAAACTAAGAATTTAATTCAAGAAATCAAGAAACAATCAAGAATAGCCCCAAATTTTCAAGAGTCAAATTAGGGTTCCAAGTTTGTTCCAAGAATTTCAAGATTTGAAAAGTTTGAGCACAAAGAATTCAAGAAAGCCTAAAGATTGTTTCAAGATCTTTAAGAACTTCTAGAATTCAATGATGAAATTCAATAAACTCAAGAAAGATTCAAGAAACACAAATAAATAGCCAAGATTTTTGAGAAGTTTAAGAACCAAAATTTAGGGTTTCAAGAAACTTCAAGATTGATAATTTATCAATCAAGAACAACAATTCCACAACTTTGATTCAAGATTTCAAGAAACAAGCTCTTAACAGCCCACACAATCCAAGAATCAACAAGAACAAGAAGAAAACCCTAGGTATGAACTTCAAATTTCCAAAAACAACTCAAACAAAAACTTTTTTGTTTTTCTGGGTGAACAATAACCATAGGATGAACAGTACATGAACAGTTGATGAATAGTGATGGTGAACAATAATAAAATTTTTTTGATAATGAAAACTCGACACAGACATGAACAAGAAACGAAAAAGGGATATAATTTTGATACCTTCAACTTGGCCCTAATACCAGCTGATATGACCTACACCCTATTTTAGACGCAACTCGTAACACACAAGCTTCGAATCTAGAATTAGATGGTATCGATGTTTGGCAGCAGAACCTATACGTTCAAGGACAACTCAAGAACGTGTAGATTGGATAGACGAGTGACTAATTGATTGATAAGTCTATGAGCACCTTAGAAGCCACTCTAAGATGTTCAAAAATAACTTTCACAAGCCAAAAGAACCGTTTCAAACAAGAAACAAGTTACTAGAAAATTCTCAAAAGTTGTCGGTTGTTTCTTACCTAGGTTTGGCTATATATAAGCTAATACAAAACTAAACGGGCCAAGACTAAACTACCTAACTAACCAAACTAATGAGGTAATTAAGGCCTAACTTAGAGCATAAGTTGATAGTTGAGTAGGGGATTAACAGAAAAAATTTTAGGTAGTCGTCTATATAAATGTTAAAGTTGGAATACTCGTTATGTTTAGGGTCTTTCCACTTGTAAATGCTTATCTCACAAAAATAGTACGTGAGTGCAATCATAATTATTTCACTAAAAAGTGAGTGCAATTACAGTTCTCAATATGGAAGCATGCAAAACTTTAATTTGTTTTTCAATTTTATTACTACTTGAGATGTAGTGCTTTCCAAATAGCCCAAAAAATTAGTCACCCACTTATGTCCTATTTGATAATTCAATGTAATACTTAAACTTAAAGGTTTAGATAGACGCATTTAATAATTAAAAATAAAACATCTGAATTCATTAATTAAGTAACATTGAAATTTCTAGGCAAAATTTGATTTTAAAAATAAGTGATAAACTATTCATTAATCACTTAATATGATATATAGTTACATGTATCAGATATCCAAAAATAAGTGATAAATTATTTACCGATCACTTAATGTGATATACAGTTAAATGTATCACATTTACTACTTAACAATATCCAAAAATAAGTGATAGGCTATTCACTGATTATTTAATGTAATATACAGTTAAATGTATCACATTTACTAGTTAATAATCTAGTAACTTAACAGATTTATACTTTAAATTTCAAATTTCAGATTTTAATTTTAATTTTATGAGATGCACCCTTAGTACAAATTCTTCCTACTCCATGTGAAACTCAAATTCGTTTAAAGTCTCGTTTGGGATTGCAGTGCATTTAGTAAAACTACACTTTTAGATGTTAGAAGTACTTTTAAAATGTTTAGTGAGTATCATCCCATAAAATTAGGAGTAGATCTATTGCTGTTAAGAACACTTTTAGCATAATTTCAAATTTGGTGCTTTTAAAATAGTTTTTGTGATTAAAAAAATAAAATATCAAATTTAATTATTTTATCCTATATTATGAATCAAATAAAGAGATAAATATTTTTAAAATTTTTAAAATTATATATTATCTAATATAATAAATACTCATTAAATTATGTTTTTAAATAATATATTTAAAAGTATTTAAGTTGTTAATAAATAATTTTATTAAGGGTAAAATATAAAAAAGCTCCTTCTGGTAAACCTAATACACAGAAAAGCCCCTCGTGATTTCAAAATATACAACACGATACCTTGTACTTTGAACTAAATTACAAAGGTAACGGAATCCGTTAAATTTAACGGAAATGACTTATTGAAACCTAAAAAATTTTTTTTATACCTAATTTTTAACAAATATACTTGTTCTACCTCTTAACCCTCAATTCTCTCTATTTAGAGAGTAAAATAAATGATTTTTTTGAGCTATCTTTTGTTTAATTATATCAGGGTATTTTGGTCATTTCGTTCATTTCCGTTAAATTTAACGGATTCTGTCACCTTTACAATTTAGTTTAAAGTACGGGATGTCGTGTTGTATATTTTGGAATTACCAGAGATTTTTCTTCTATGTATTAGATTGGTCACAGGGAACTTTTTTATTTTTTATCTTTTTATTAATAGCTCTACTAGAAAAATACTTTTCTATAAGCTGCGCAACCCAAACGGGCTTAAATGAGAAAGAAAGGGAAAAAGTAAAAAAAAATTGAAGGGGTTGCAGTCAAATGCACCTGGTTTCTCCCACCATCTTTGCCCACTTTTTTCTCCGGTCTTAACCAGCCTTCTGCAGACCCCTCCGACGCCCAGGGTAACTCCACGGCGTCGTAATTAACGTCTTTTCTCTCTTCCAATCCCTAGCTCATTATCTTCCCCCACAATGCAATCCGTAAGTCCTTCGTTCTCATTTCCGGAATTTAAATTTTAATGCAGTAATTTCAATTTTATTTTGTTTTTGTAGACGAAAATTTGGTGTGGAATTTTTTATAATATTTTTTTGTATGATTTTAAATCGTAATCAGGTGTTGATCGCTGCAGAGGAATCGCATATTCTCAGAATATTAAACAGTAGCTTCCAAACCCTAGACTCCATAAAAGACCGCATTTCTCATATTTTTGCTAATTTTTTCTGCTCCAAATACTTCAGCATTGACTTAATTGATACAAGGTAATTTCAAATTTACTTGGATTTTCGTCATATATTTGCTTTTTTTTTTTCGTGTGTGTGTGTGAAGTTTTGTTGAATAAGCAATTTTATTATGTGGTATAGGTATAGAGGGATTGATGAGGTAAAAACAAGTTATAATCAGAATCAATGTGAGTTAAGTGAAAACGGTAGAAGGCAGTCGGAGCCTTCTGATGGTGATGAAGGGCAATGTTCCGGTGCCGTTTTTAACGTTTTAGATACAATGTTAAAGGATAGTTTGGATCGCTTGAAAACAATGAGGTCAGTGGTTTTTGTTTTTGAAGTCAGAAACTTGTTGTCATATTGAATTCAGTGTTTCAGTTAGTTTATAGTGTTTCTTAAGTATTTAATGGGTACAGCTTGCTGATTTTGCTGTTTTTTCGGAATGTGTTTTTTGTCGTGTAATATGGAGGTAAATGCATTGTATAGCAGATATCTTAGCTGTGTTAATGGTGCCATATATTGTAGCTTTACTATTAAAAAATGTTTGTAGAGGGAATTTTCCGTGTGGTGGCAGATATATATGTATACATGTTTCGCTGGGAAAACAAAGGAGTTCTTGCGAACATAAGAAATTACAGAAGGGAACTTTGTTTATTTCTTCTAAAAGTTTAATATTTTAAATTAGCTTTTAAAATAGCAGTTAATGGTTGTTAATCATTTGCCTAAATGTCTATCTGATACTGATAGTTCTTACCAACGGCTTGTATCAGGCTTCTTGTGTCTTTCCGACATACATCTTCATTTATGTTCTTTGAATAGTCTTAGGAAAATCAGTCAAACTGAATTACATTCCTAACAGGATAGAAGATCGAAAAAGCATTAGAGTATATGATATGTCTGTTTCTTTGATTTCTAGCTTCTGGGTTTTAACGATTGATCAAGTTCAATGTATTGCCATCCATGCGTCTGTTTCTTTTTGGGTGATATAGAGTGTTGTTGCTGTTATACTTAGTAAGAGATAGTTGGGATCCTGGTCTCTCTCTTATGCTGTCTGGATCAGTTTACTTTAGCTGTTGTAGTCATCTGCTTCTCTAGGCAAACTCTCCCTTGAAATACTTTACAAGTGACCTTTGAGACGTAGTTTCTGAAGTGGTAGTGGGTGCCCTTTTTAGTTGTTGATGTCTCCTCTCTTGATAGCTTTTGTTTTTCTTTCAAAGATGATTCTAAATTGTAGCTTTTATTACAAATTGTATCATGTTCCCTATCTCAGGTTATGGAAGTGAATTATGCTATACCTTTTTGAAGTAAATTTGTTCTTATAGTTTCTCTGTGTATGGTTTCTGTAACTGATGCCCCATAAGTTCCGCAGGCAAAGCATATCCTGGGATGCTATAGGCCGTGAATGCTGTGACTTTGAAGTAAATTATAAGCGAGATATAACTATCATTAGAGCTTTATGCTTGGAGGGTAAGTTGGGGGTAGCTCTATCTCTCTGGTATATGATGATACAGAAAAGTGTTATTCCTGATATTATCACCCATAATTATCTAATAAACGGCTTCTGCAAAACTGGTAACTTGGATAAGGCAGAGTGGCTTGTCAAAGAGATGTTATTTAGGGGTCCTCCTCCTAATTGTGCGACCTACAACACTTTAATAAAGGGTTATTGTCTTCAAAAGGATATTGAAAGGGCTCTAAATTTGTTTTCCACAATGGCCAACAGTGGTATTGGCCCGAATAGAGTTACTTGTAACATTATTGTACATGCTCTTTGTAAGAAAGGTCTGCTGGAGGATGCAAGAAAGCTTCTTACGGAAATATTGGGTGATACTTACCCTAAGGACACGTCGAATTTGATAACATCAACTATACTAATGGACGGTTCCTTTAAGAATGGAGATATAAATCTGGCTCTCACTTATTTGGATGGCATTTTTTGCGGGGGTATCCCACTTGATACTGTTTTCTATAATGTTGCCATTCATGGATTCTGTTTGATCGGAGATATATCCACTGCTTATAAATATGTCTGCGAAATGTTTAAGCGTGGTTTTCTTCCTGATATATTTTCTTACAATACTCTTATTGGCGCTCTTTGTAAGGAAGGACGGACCACTGAGGCTTGTTATATCTACAATGTTATGTCCAGGATGGGTGTTTCTCCTGATCAAATCACTTACAAGATGATTATACAAGGGCTATGTTTTCATGGCGATGTAATAAAAGCTAATCTGTTTCTTCATGCTATGTTAGATGACTCTGTTGTGCCTCAACCACTCATCTGGAATGTGATAATTGATGGTTATGGGAGGTGTGGTAATATGCAAAAAGCATTGTCCATCAGGGAACAAATGGCTGCCTTTGGGGTAATGCCAAATACATTTACTTATAACGCTTTGATCCATTCACAGATAAAAAGTGGAAATGTTGTTGAGGCACATTCGTTGAAGAAGGAGATGGTTCTAAATGGTTCTTTTCCAGATTTGGTTACATACAATCTCTTGTTGGGTGCCTCTTGCAATCTTGGTAACTTTCATTCAGTGCTGCAGATATATGATGAAATTGTAAGAGGAGGTTATTACCCAGACATAATAACATATACTGAGCTACTTAAGTATTACTGTATACAAGGTTATACAGAGAAGGCAGAAGATCTCTTGGAAAAGTTACAGACTTTGAATTTACAGGTTGATCATGTTCCATTTCTGATACTCATGAAAAAGTATTGCAAGATGAGGGAGCTAGACAAAACATTTGAACTTTATCAGAAGTGGTTATTGAGAATGAGTTGAGAATACCTTTAGTATAGAGCAATTGGTACTCAGGGCTGCAAAGAATTTTCTGATCCTTGGAAATATAGCTCCACCATGGCAGTTTCATGCATTACGTTCATTCATTGATGGTGGATATCTCCTGCAAGTTGATGATCTCAACTTGAAGGTTTGTGCTTTGTCACCTCTCCTGATATTTCTGATATTTAAGATACCTCCTCTACCATATTCTTTCATTTTAGTGAATGTGCTTGATTTTCTCATAAAATTTGACAAGTTTTTGGGTAAATCTTGACTGAGTATAAATTAGTATTGGTTTCTTTTGGACTCCATATAATATCTTTGATTGGGACTTCTGAATTTGAAGTTGAAAGCTACTATAAACTGATTTTCTGTTATTTCTTCTTCAAAATTGATAAATTGAAATCACAGGTCCTAGTTTTTTTGTTTTTCTAAACAAGGTTGAAATGCCATTGGTAACATGTTCTTGTACAATGAATTTTATTTTTTGGTGTGGAATTCTGTTTGAATTCCGTATTTACGAAGTTTGAATTCAATATTTAGTGTTTCAAAGAGGTAGCACTATACTAAATTTGTTAATCAACATAATACTGCAGTTTTAAATTGTTGGAGTTTGTTTTTGGCATGACTTATTGGAAACAGTTGTTTCCATGGACACTAGTGAAAACTGAACCAAACCAGAAGAAATTTCTTTCAAGTGAAAAAAGAAATTCATGCAAGTGCAGATAATGTCTTTTGATGGGTATAATGACACTCAGTGAAATTTAGAAAATTGGTTGCCAACTTAAAGTTACTGGTGCAAAATGTCTCTGATGCGGAATATCATTATTGGTTTAGTAATCGATTTAGTAAAGAATGCATTTTTTGTAGTTTTTCTTGTCATGTGTTTGAAGTCACATACTTCATTTACATAAATTGGAGAGTTTTGAATAATTTCCACCATTGCAGATGGAGCTTCGATTATAAACTAGTAAAAAAATGGGCAGAATGACAAAGTGGACGAGAAAGTTACAATTCCAGAAATAATACTTAATCTTTAATGGCTTTTGCTAACCAAACCATCCAGCTTGCTTCTTTTTCCTTCCCTTACTTCCCTTCATACTTCGCTATCTTAGAAGAAGAAATATCTCCTATTCCCCTCCTATCTTTTTGTTAAAGCTCCTTTGGTGGAATTCCTCTTGTAACTCAATGTTATTCCACAAAACAATTTCTAAATTAGTTTTCAAACTATCCACATCCTCCTTATTCTCCCCATAAACTCCAATCAAACAACCTCCTTGAAGGAAGGAAAAGTATTTCCAGCAACTTAAATGTATGTTTTACATTTATTTTACTGATTAAGGATTCAGAGTTTGTCAATAGCATAGTTGGGATGTAATACCCAGTTTCTTTTCATGCATCTGTGAGTCGATTAACTTGTATAACATATATAGTTTTTGAACTTATTTAAAATAGCTAGATATATTTGTTCATGGATCCAAATATGCACACTCTTCAAACACAATTGATTTTGCAGTTTTTCTTTGGGTGTCTGAGTTGCTAAACCATGCTAGAGCTGAAACCTGTAGTTAACTCATTTTCATCTGAGAATAAGTGAAATTTGTATGGGATCGTGGATGAGATTAAAGCAAAGAAATGAAGAAGCAGTTGCACGGCAATTAGTGAAGAAAAAATGAGATACAGTTTTCATTGATCAGGTGTTTTGGTGCCAGTTATGTCCTTATGCTTCCTAAGGATTTTAATTGATTAATGAATACTTAATGGATTATATCAGTTCAAATGCACTGATTCAGAACAAAGTGGAATCTCAGACAATGATGAAGTTGTAAAGAACTGATGGTTAACCAGATTTCATATACTATTTGTTTTCAGATCTACCAGACTTCATTATCTTTTACTCATCGAGAATTAACAAGACAGCAATAACATTGTTGGTAATCATGCTAGTCACCATGTGATTGTGGGTTAAAAGTGAAGCTATCCTTTTTGTGATTTTCTTGTTTGCTTGTGTACCCATTACATTTGTCCGGACCTACGTTGTAAACACTGGTGAATGGATGACACAATTGTGGGATGTAGTTGAGAACTTAATCACAAGATCTTTCATATGATTAGGCCACTTGAGTTGTTTGTTGTCGATTTTCTGCAGATTTGCTTTTTTTTTTTTTTTACCTCTTTAGCTGTTTAAAAGCTGTGTATAGATTAGCTGGTGGCTATGGCATATGATTGGATACCCCTTTTGTTGGAGTTGCTCTGGTTATTTATTATTGATTTCCTCTTAGTTCATGCTCGCTCTTAGAATGTCATTAACTCTGGCTGTCCTAGTTATTGAAAATTTGCCAAATTTGGCTTCATAGCTAGAACTTATGTAGTTTTTGGTGGCTGTGTTGCACGGTCATTGCCCACTAGTGGGACATTAATGTTGTAATTTGTTCCTGAGATTATTTGTATCTGGCTTTGGTACCTAGACAGCCTTTGGCTGTCTTGCTCAATGATGCAGGCAAATTTTAAATGTGGCCATAAGAAATAATCCTCACGAAATAATTCTTTGGTCTTTTTAGGTTAAGCTTCTATTTTCCTTACATTTCTGTTGTTCATTGAGGGTGTTATATTTTTTTCCCCATTTTTATATTTGTTTAGCTTTAATTACCATTACTATGCTTAATTATCCTTCTGTACTCTTCAGTGCTAATGATGTTTTCCGTGGCAGCTATTATTGTTAACACCAGGCGGACTGCAGTTAGATAATGAATCAGTAAACTCAGGTAATTTCTGTTGATATTTTGAGTGTCTATTAGCTTGCATCTGTTATAGCTGCTTGAATAGTATCATGAATAAAAATTGTAGCTTAATTGTGGAATGGCTGGTAATTTCATACTCGGGCAGTCGGACTTTCACCTTCAGACAATGGTCCCTGGGAGACATTGATCAGGAAACATATGCTCCATTTGGTTAAAGGGGATTATTGATTCCATCAACCATCTTTTTAAAATTTTATGGTAGACTGTCTTGTCACTGTTAATTGCAATCTTCCCCTTTTCTTTTTCTTTTTCTTTTGGAGCTATTATCTCAGTTTGTCTTTGCTGATGTTTCCAGGAAGCTACAGAGATTTCATTATACAGATTCAAACTTTGCCAGTTATCTTCAAGCTCAAGGAGGTAATCCTTCTGGGGTTGTGAATGTCCTTTTTAGCAACACCAGCTTTACGGTTGTATATATATCACCTGGCTTCACTGGAATGTGTAATTACCTGAGTTTTTGTTCATCTTTCTCTGTGTTCTACCACTCAATAAGGAAATGTCATTGAACCATTTGAGTTGTGCGTGAATACGCAAGGTGGTGCACATTGACCTTTTTAGCTTCTCAAAAATAAACTTAATTGTAATAACTATGTGTGGGATGGAAAATGTTTTTGAAGCAATTTTTCTTTGTTAGTGGTTTATACTGTCCACTTATCAGGAGAGGTCATTTGGGAAGTTTCATTCGGATTTAAGTTTTCGTGGCTTAGGTGGAGCATCACTAGGCTTCTGATCTATGTGAGGACACACTTGGGATTAGTTTGTGTATGTTTATGTTATAATCCACTGTAGCAATCATCGAAATGCCAAGGGTCTAGATTTGCATTCAGAAGTAGCTAAACATAGATGGGTGAATTGTGCTGACATCAATTGTTCAAGTCTGATCTACTTAGATCTGAAACTTATTGGCGGTGCAGTTTAATGAATGTTGTTTTCTGCCATTCATTCCATTTGGTGAAGAGTATTAGGGATGGTGACTTGGCAGGTACTCATCCTGTCAGGCTCGTGAAAGCCTGAACTTGGTCAAATTCTTGTCTACCTAAGTCCCTCCTGAATCCAATGGTGTGTATAATCACCACCAAAATAGCCCAGCTTAGTGGCCATGTCTAGCAACCTGCCAATTTTCCTGCTCAAGCAAAATGTCTAGCAAACCTGCTGACTTTTTTTTTGTGCTAATGCACAATTTGACAGTCCTATTATTAGAATAAGAATGATTGGTTTTGTTGAAATATAACTTACCATATCAATATAAATAAAGTCAATGAATTCAACTTTGAAACTGATACACTGGTTAAATTAGTTCCTTTTGCATGCTTATGCATTGCACCAATAGAAAAATAGTTAGTTCCTAAAATTGTACTGAAGATTCTTTAGGAGCAGACAGAAACTAATGGACTGTAATATATCCTTTTGCATGCTTTTGCCTGTTATAACAGCTGAACAATAGAAGGGGGATTAAATTCATGAAATATGACGAATCTTTCTAGTTCATAAAAGGTTAAGTTGCAATGAAATAAAGGTATCTGTTAAGTATCTAGCATATGAAGAGCTTGTATTTGTTTTCGGTTGGAGCTTGAGATTTTTTATGCCTCTTTTTTTCCCAGTGTAAATTTAAATTCTGCTACCTTCAAAATTTGAACAATTTATCAGGCATGCTTCAAAGATTTCCTTCTTTGTCTGATTATCTTCCTCGTGGTTGTACAGGAGGAAATCTCTTTTTGAATATCTTGGTAATGTTCACTGCACAGATATTGATGAAGTAACTTACCTTAATCAGGCATTGTTCCCTCACCAGTTCTATTGGTTCGCTTGTCATCATATCTGCCGATTTGGATTTTGGAACATATCAGATCTTAGCTCAATTTTGCAGGTCTGGCCTGGCTTTTCCAACTTGTCTCTGGTGTGCTTCATGAAACTCAGTTTTACTGCTCAAGAGCAGTGGACAATAGGTATCATTGATTACGCAGCCGTTGGGGATGAGTTCGTTTTACAAATTGAATCTTATCCTAGCCTACATGTTGGAGATCAAACCCTGCAGCTGCTTTTTGCTGTGTCTGTACAAGCAGCATATTCAAGCTGCTTCTGTTACTGGAGCTGATGAGCATTCTTAACATTTTTGGTGGTAGTACGTGGTTAGGATTTTACAGCGGCACCATGGACAGAGGAACTGACCGTTCCTTTTCTGATTAAAATCTGCTGTTCATTCAACTGCAGGTATTCTACATGTCATTATGGTCATCTAGTTCTTTAATTGGGTTCATTCAGCGGTGGTAGCTCTTGGTCCGTAATTTTTTACTTTTGCATCTATACGAAAATGAAACACTTGAGATTTTGCAGTTATGGCATGTTGCACATGGTGCTATACAAGCTGTTGTATTATTTCAGACCTTTGTGCATACTGTTTGAGGCCATATGTTATATTATCCCATTAGACAAGTAGTATTCGTGCTGTTATTGGGATGCTTTGTCATATATTTTATGCCATGCCTGATACCATCAAGTGTTTTGTTCAAAGAAAGCTGAAGATTGCGGAAAAATCAGAAATGATGCCTAAGAAATTGCCTGCTTGCATGATGATAAGGATACTAAGGTTGGCATCCGACTCTTCTCTGTGTGTCATCTGACAAGAGCCATGCATAGAAAACCATGCGAGTGAACCTCCTGCTCAAAATGTAGTTAAAAGTACCATTAAGACCTAAGGGTGGCATAAGATCATTTTCAAAATCTGTCATGGACCTGTTGAGAATATTCGCGATTTGCTTGCTTCAAGTTTTTTGCGATCATGGCATAATTTTGTTGGAGCAGAATTCGTGATTTATTTTCTTGGTCTTTTTCTTTCCCTTAAATTAATGGACTGGGCAGCTTTGGGCTGAAAGGTTAAGTCTGAGAAAGAACTTCTGATAGATATGTGGACGAATTTCATTTTGTACCGTGTATTTCCATCGATTTTCACTTTTCATCCTCAACTTTTATTTTGGACAATTTACACCATAAAAATACCAACACCTCTCCTACCACCCAAAATCGTCCATATTGTAAATCAAGATGTGCAAAACTGTATGCAGCCACTCGCTTTTTTTGGTTCTCTTCTGGAATGATCTCAGTTTTTTGTAGTTGACAAGAAGTAAGCTTGAATGCAGGAGCGTATTATTTACATAATAGCGTAGTGGATGCCGAGAATTTTAGACTTTTGTCAATTTTCGGCTAAAGTGTCCAAAAAGAAAGTACAGCTTCCTACGTGTCAATAGTTGATACTTCTATGAAAAATTGAAGGAGACCGGATAGGGACGATCATTCGAAGGACCGTCCCTGAACAGTTAACGGCCAAAATTTGGTCCAAAAAAATTGTACGGTTCACATTATTTCTTGTACCTTGTTTTTAATAACGTGTGTAGGGTTTACAAAAATTTATTCTAAAATTACATGGTGTGCAAATAAAGTTATGTCGCGTGCCAACAAGGTTATACGGTGTGCAAAATGTACAAAATTGCTAGGAACGGTTGCACAACCATTCTTGCCTGTGGTGCAAAGTTAAAGGTTCAAATGAGACATGTCAGGTTCCGAAGTGAAATTAGTCAAATATCAATTATTTTGTAAAAAGTTAATTACTTTGAAGCAGCCAACATAGATCTGGATGTTAGCTTTTTCGACCAGCAAAAAATTCTAAACTTTATACATAAAAGTAAATAAGAAACTAAAAAGGTCATTTCTCAAAATCAGGAATGAAAATCGAGTGAAATAATCAACAGTGAGACCCTCATATTTTTATAGAGATTTTTAAGCTGCAGCGGGTAGAATGCACGTTCATCTGGATGCACAAATTAGAGTAACCCTGCAATTGATTGTCTAGGGAAGGTGACGGGCAGCTGTATAAACTGACTTGATTACGAATGAGGTGCTAACTTTGGCTTATCGTTCAATTATGAACTCAAAGGAGAAAAAGTCTTAAGAAAGTTGGATACAAGTTTGGGCGGCAATTGGTCATGTCCTTGATACATTTCAACCTAATCCAACCCATTAGATTTTGGTGCGTGTCATGTCATCATGACCTGTTAGTTAACAAATTAATCCAACCCAACCCGCATACAACCCATTAAGCACTTTATTTGATTAAAATAGTTTTGATATAATGCACTATTTTGTCAAACCAACCTATTAACCTATTCTAGAAACACTCTAACATCTTAATCACTTATTTTAACCCATTTGATCATGTAATTAATTCAATATTGCAGTTGTTAAAACACATAATAAATTTCTTGAAATACATAGTTAATTCTTTTTTTTTTTTCCGGAAACGATAATGAATTATATTAACTTGTGTAACAATTTACACCTAATGAGCAAAGGCTCAAGCTGCACTATACAAGTGTCTTCGACACTGAGGATTTAACCATTCCTCATCAAAAAATATGCTTAGCGCATAAAAACTGAGGTTAGTTAAGCTATTCGTCACTTCCCCCCTAGCTAAAACAAATGAGCATTCCACAAACATTGAGCTTAAATCGTAGATGTCCACAATATGAGAATGAAGTCGAATGTCCGTAGCCCTTTTGGTTTCTATCATCTTCAAAAGCTGTCGCTGTGTGATTGCTACTTGAATTCTCCTCCATTGCTGCTCCCTTGCCTTTATCATTGCTAGCTTGATGGCCACTGCAGTATCCATGAGAATGTTCCCTGTGCTATATTCCTTTACTGCCAATGTAGCTAGCACTTGATCATTTCCCCTCACTGCCACTATGCCTATTCCCATCTGACTTGCTTTTCTCTGAGTGTCAAAAGCTAAGCAAATGGTTATAGGACTTTCAGTACTTGTGGTTACTGCCTGCTGCTCTACAGCTTCTGTTGTTTTTGGAATGCTCATCTGGTCCTTGCTGTGTTGTATTCTCTGCATTTCCAGCCACTCTTCTTGAGCTTGATGTATGATTTTACTTGCTGGTCTTCTATTTTTCTGAAACACAAAGTCATTTCTAGCTTTCCAAATTTGCCACAAAATGTTTACAGTGAGTGCAATGTGTTCCAGCCCTTCAGGTCGATTCCTAGCCTCTGTTAAAGCATTCCACCATCTTTTAAAGTTCCCTTGTTGGTCATCAATACCATCCCATTTCAATGGTGCTATTTGCCATGCTTCTTCTGCCATCCTGCAACGAAATAGTAGGTGTTCTACAGTTTCCACAGCTTCACCACAATTCTCACATATTGGTGATCCTTTCTTGGTTCTGCTAAACACCACTTCATTAACAGGTAATGCCTTATTCAGGCATTTCCAGATAAAAATCTTCAGCTTGTGTTTCACTTTAAGCTTCCACAAGTGTTTCCACAGGTGTTGGTCCTCTAGGCTGGTTTCTCCTCTTGTAAGCATTTTCTGCTGGGCTAGAAATACATAGTTAATTCAAAATTTAAAGTTTTCAAAACATTCAAAAAAATAGATAATGAAGTTTTCCAAGCATAATATAAGTTACAAAATCGACCTTGTTCGGATTGCTATATTTTTTAAAATTTTCTATGAATAGTTTTACATATTTTTCAATCACCTTTTATCTCATATACATCACATTCTAAAAAGTGCTAAAGTAATTTTTTTTTTCCGAAAACTCTCTAGAAAACGCAATCCAATCAACCTTTTAAAAACACAATTACATAGTTTCGTATATGATAAGATATAAAACTTGTGAATTTTTAAAACTTCTAATTGAAATCTTTAAGCCAAATTTGATCATTGATAATTTTTATAAATACTCAAAGTAGACTCTGTAGTGATTAACTATTATCATAAAGTATGTACTTTTATCAGGTTAGCATGTCAACCCATGAATTAACCCAATCCAACCCGCTTATATTCGTATCACTGTCAGATTGACCTAATAATGACCCATTAAAGTTTGGGTCATATTTTCATATGTGCCAAAACCTGTTTTCCCTAAGTACAACCTTATTTCGTGGTCATGTTTGCTCAACTCATAGGTTTTCCAACCACATGGTTATTCTCAAATAGTTCTCAAACTTATATATTTTTCAAAGCTTTTTTTTTTTCTAGTGCAAGTGCAAATGGGAGGGCTTGTTTCAATGTTATATTTACATTCAAATAGTTCAAATGCTTTGACCGTCTTTACATTAATTTTCTGTTTCGTTATGGTGCTTCTGTTACTTGCGTTGCCCTAAACTTATTGATTCAAAGCAAGTGACAAGTTGGCAAATCGGAAGTTACAACAAAAAGCATCAATGATAGGAAATTAAAAATCAAGTCAGTATCATGTAATTTTTTTTGTCAGTGTTCTCGTTTTGTTTGTTGAATGTTCATGTCGTAATATCTTCGGTCATTAATCATTCCAGTTTCTCGTTGATTATTCAGCCGACTTAAGTCATTGTAACCATAGTTATTAAAATATGAGATCGATATAATACGAGATATTATATGTACATGTATTATACGGATGTGTTCTCAAAACTACTATTAAAAGTTCAGTATAAATATACATGTTAGATAAATTACGCATATAAATTCAGACGTGAATAGTACGAATATATTTGAAAGTAATAGAACTAAAATTACGGATAAAAAATTATAAAGTTTTCAAAAACAATGCAGCATTTATATCAATTCTAAACTTATTTTTATGTATGAGACATTAAATTTATTAATATTTTATCACCTTATGACTTAAACACGTATAAATCTATGGTCATTATGTTATATTTCGCTCTTGTTTTGTATATAACTAAAAGTATGTCATTATTCTTACTCAATTTCTGAAAATTTTCCAAAATTAGAAGTATAATTCGTGAAATATAATACGTTAAAAGTTTATTACATGTTTTACTTATATGATTAGTCGAAAAGTATGAGTATTTTTTCAAAGTATTTTTAAAATGTACGAAATATAGAATGCTTTTTTTTAATGATACACACAAACATGTATTATACGAGTGTGTGTGAGTATTTACTAACTATTTGCAGCTACCATTGATTCCAGGGATAATTTCATAAACCTTCTTTGAGGTTTTTGACAGTATCACTTAGTACCTTGAAGATTAAAAATAATATCACTTGCCTTCCTGATTATCAAATTTTTTGTTAAACGCTGCTACTTTTCAAAATATGAGAATATTACTCAAAAGTTGAAAACAAGGCAAAAAAAATGAAGACATACGTCTGATAGGACAAAATATAGCAACAACAACCGTAATTAGCATGCTATTTTAATCTACAAAAAAATAATAATAATTCATTTAAGATGTTTTCAAACTTCAAAAGAATTTTCTTGTCTTGAAGATTTGTCTATTTGGTGTTCTAAGGTTGCATAGTAAGAAATCGACCTGAATTTTATTCTTTTTGTGGCTAAAGGGTCGATTTCTTCCCCAAAACGGTTGCAACTCTGGCAGTCAGCCGTGATTGTAAAACTTTAATATTGAACCCATCTTCATTTTTTGATACGCTTGTCGTATGCCCTAGGATAGTAAATAAAAGAATCCTTCTTTTTATGTACAATATTTCGAATGAATTTAAGAAATT